AAATGAAGATGCAATTCACAAAAGCAACTATTTGTCTTACTGGTGGGTCAAAAAAGCCCCTCTTCAAATCCATCAATGTATTCCAAATTTGTTGTTAATAGCAATAAAAAAGATAAACTTCAACAATACTTCTCCATCTGCCTTTGAGAATCTATCTTTAATATCAATTTATAAACCAATTTTTATCTTGACCTATGATTTCTTAGAATGGGAACATAATTTTAAAACTATACATGTACCAAAAAAATGAAAGAGGTGTTCCATACCCCATTCCTTTTCTAAGACAACAAAAATTTTTAAATTAAATGGGTATAGAATATTAGAGAATCATGATTCTTTCTGACTCAATTGGAACAATATTTTCATTAAAAATCAGTTAGCTGTTAACAACTAGTCAAAGGTTAAAGCTATAGTCTTCTTTTAGGATTTCCCCAACCACACAACAAAAAAGTGTCCTATTTTCTAGGAATTAATGAATATGACACACAGAAGATGAATAATAAAAAGTCCAAAACCAGAAAGGTCCAGGTTGATGAGGAAAAAAAGCTAAAGCAACAAAATCACCTGGAACAGATTTTCTTCACAACACACTTAATAACAATCATTATATACCTCAACTCAGGCCTATGGTTTGGGGCTGTCTGAACTGACTTGACTGATGTCTCAGCACCAACTTGCTTAAAGCTATAATTCTGAAAACTAAGTATTTTCTTCAGTGTTGTCTAGAAATACCACCTCATTTGACATCTCACTCAAATGTGACATAAGAAACACACACACAATCTCAAATGTAGAAGGTATGTGGATAAATGAAGCGATTGTGTATGATGGAAGGAAGAGAAGAATGCCCTTAGCTACACCAATTCGTTTCTTTTAATTTAATGATGCAAAGATGTGTAGACTACAACTGCAGCTTTTTATATCTTTTTTCAATTTTTCAATGTTCAGGCAAAACATTCAGGCTTTAGGTCATTCAGAAAGGGTGCTTAGAAGAATAAAAATATCCAGTGCTTCAGTGAGATAAGCTCTCTCATGCATTAGTTGATGGGAGCATAAATTGGTACAATTTTTCTGGAAACCAGGTGATAATGACGATAGAAAATCTGAATGGTGCCACCTTTTTAAGCCAACACTTTCATATCTGTGACTACTAGTGAGCGTGTATTTATTGATTTTTTGGATTGCCTTGTCTGTTATTTGTTTTCCATATTTTTGACCCATTTTTCTATTGGGTTGTTTGTCTTTTCCTTCTGAATCTGTGGGAGCTAGTTGTATATAATATGCATTAATTTCATGTATTGCCATTATTTTTTCCTGGGCTATCATTTGTTATTTGACTCACTTCATGATATACTCTTCAAGGTGAAATTTTTCACTTACTATAATGAAATATGTCTTACTTTTTTCTTTAAAACTTTTGGATTTCTTCAAAAAATTTATAGGTCTGGGATTTATTTTTGTACACAAAACACTGTTTTGTTCCAGGTAAATAACCAGTTGTTCTAATTCTGTTTAATAAAAAATTCCCCCCTCTCCCCCAGCCAAATTGAAATTCTACCTTCGCCTACTATTAAATCCCCATAAATGCTTGAATCTATTTCAGGACTCACTATTTTATTCCACAGCCAATCTCTAGGCCAATAACATACTGTGTTTATTATGGTACAGCATAATAGGTTTTAACATTTGAGAACCTTGCTTTTAGTGTATTTTTATACCTTTTCTGTGTCTTAATAAAGATTTAATGGCAAGCTGGAAGAGGGAGAATCAGGATGTTGACTAAAACCAGAACCTCCACAATTGATCGTTCTTAAAAGAATAAACAGAACTGTGGCAAAACAGTTCACTTATATTGTGTGCAGAAATGTGAACTGTTAATATCTATTATGATTACAAACATGTATATTTGAATCAATAATTTTGCTCCTAGGAATCCAGTGCATGGAAACGAAGGCACCAGTATGGAAGGGTATGTGTACGAGAAAGTCTACTAACATTATGGGAAGATTGTTGTGGGGAGATATCCAGAAAAGAGTCAATAATGCAGGCCCGAGACTGCTATCCTTAGGCCTGCATGCAAGGTTGGTTGGCCCTTGGCTGGTATCTGGGAACTTGGCTAGTAAACAGTTCCCCACACTGATATAAAACTTTCCCTAAATAGAGTGGTTCAATGTGCTTAAACTGCTTGTACAAACAATGTGGTTTATGCCGACTACCTGATTTCCTTCTGTGAGTCTGGAATTTTGGTACATGCTAAGTAGAGAGTGCCTACAGGACCAGCCTCCAATAAAAACTTGGGGCACTGAATCTCTAACGAGCTTCCCTTGGCACGTGTCGTAACTCATTGCTGAAGGAATTAAGTGTGTCCTGTGCAGCTCCACTGGGAGAAGGCTCCTGGAAGCTTGCTCCTGGTTTCCTTTAGCTTTCACCCCACATGCCCTTTATCTTTGCTGATTTTTGCTTTGAATTCTTTCAGCGTAATACATTTGACTCATGAGAGTCCTACGAGTCCTTGTAGTGAATCAGTGAAACTGGAGGTGGTCTTGGGGACCCTGACTCAGGAGGTAAAGGGAGATGTGGGCAGAGAAGGTAAATGTGGGAAAAACACTAATAAAATATTGTAGAAAAAAGAGAAAGGTACATATAAAAAATTATAGGCAATATCCCGCATGGACTATGATCTCATTTATCTTATAGTACATATATTTGCACACATGCATAGAAGGATACCAGACACCACTGTGTTAATAGTGTTACCTCTGGATGGTGATTTTCCACAATTTCCTTTATACTTTTCTGTATGGTGTGAACTTGTTTTTACAATGAGCATACTTTAATTATATGAGCAGAAAATAAAGCTATTTTTTTTAATTTAAAAAAAGGAAATAAAAATTGATTGTTGATGATTCTTGTTGAAAATAGCATCCCCGATGCTACCTCTCCTAACTTCCTATTAAATCCCTATAAGGATACACACATCACGCGGAGAGTTAGGTGACCAATGGCCTATCCCCAGAGGCTGACAGAAATTTCCACCAATTTTATATGGAGTTGTCTAAAGAACATACTAAGTAGATCACATATATTAAATCCCAGAATAGTCTGTCTGAGAGTTGGGAGGAAGATCCTTATTCCCTCTCTGTTGCGTTATAGTTAAGAAATGCAAGATCTACATCACAGACAAGACTGGACAGCTTTCTCTCCATGACATGGTGATGGTTTTTGAAGAAGCCATCCCTTTTCTTAAAATTTCTCTGAGAAACTTTAGAAAGAAAGCAGAGGTGCTGTAAAGAGGACTGAGAAATGAAGAGCCCTAGTAGGAGTGTATACCTGGAATTATAATTTTTTATATAAGTGTTGGGCTCTGGGGTTGGGAGGGGGAGGAGTGGGTCCTATCTATGGCTAGCAGAGCTGCAATAGACTGAAGTCTGGGTCACTGACAAGTGTGCGAGACGTGAATAAACTAGATTTAAGAGGAATCTATCAGCCACCAACCGGACAGAAATTGAGATCAGGGCAGGGTGACTCTACAGTTTATTATCCATACTGGAACACTTTTGAGAAGAAAGGGATACTACTAATAGTTACAAGAGACAACAGTCATAAACTAGAACTGTCTCAAGCAAAGTGAGAGCTATGGTCTCCCTGGTTCAGGGCCAAAGCCTGGACCTAAGTCGATTTCTTGGATAGGTATAAAGAAGAAAAAGTATCAGATCTGCAAAACAACAACAATGAAAACACCACTGGTAAATAACTGCAGAACAGATGTATGAAAATAGTTTACTATGGCAGACAGAAAACAGAGATCCAAACATGTAAATTTACCAGCAATCTTGAGAAAGAAAACAGAAACGAATAAAAGCAATATAAAAACACAATTAATAGAAGGACAGTGTTTTAGGAAGCAACAGAATTTAGTATTTCACTTCAAAAGTTTTCTGAGTTCTAGGCAAAACAAATGAGAGGACAACACTTAAAAACACCTTGGCAACTGGGAAGAGAAAATTTTCATTATTTGCATGAGATAGAATCATTTACCCAGAAAAACTAACAGAAGCAACAAATATGAATCAAGAAAGGTTTAATTCTGGATTCAGACAAACCAACATAACCCAATATTATTTCTTTGTACCAACACTGCCATGTAGAAAATGTAATAAAAAATTCACAGCAGTAACAAAAACAGTATCTAGGAATTAACTGTGAATTCACATGGCGTCTCTAAGTCTAAAGGTCAAAGAAATGATTTATATAAGCTTATTCTATACTCTTAAGACGATTTAATATTGTAAAAATGTTAATCCTTTCAAATTCATCTATAAATTCAATGCAATCTTAATAAAAAGTGTAGTTGAATTTAATGAACACAATAAACATACATTAAAATTTATATTGAAGAATAAAGGTCTAATGTATAGGTTAATCAACTTGAATAAAGAAAAGTAGAGAAGATGGATTTATCCTACCACATACTAAGACATACTATAATAAAAACTGTGTGGCATTGGTATAGCAACAGGAAGGTATAAAAATGGAACAGAATAGAGCACTCAGAAACAGACTATATATATTTAACACATAATAAAAAAATCAATGGGAAAAGAACAGATTGTTTAGTACAAGGTTATAGAGAAAACATGAGCTAACCATATAGAAGAAAATGAAATTGGACTTCTATATAAAACCACATACGCAGGCAGATTTTAAATGGATTCAAGACCTAAATGTGAAAAGTAAAACTATACAATTCATAGAAGAAAATATAGGATAGTACCTTTGTGACCTAGACACAAGGAAAGCCCTCTTAAACAAAATTTTAAAGCGCAAAATGTAAGGCAAAATATTGAAGAATTTGATTATGTTGAAATTAAAGATTCTCTTCAACAAAGCATATTATAAAAACTATACCATTGTGAACTTTTTTGAATCAAAGAAAACATTCAATGAAATTTTAAAAACAAAACCAAGGCCTTATCCGTATCTATAAAATATAAAATTACCTTTTGTAGAAAGAGAACGATCCTTACGAGCATCTGAGCACGAAGTTCTTCCAAAGTAAACAATGTTCGGGGTGTTCTAATGAAAATTTTGGTTTTCCCATAAGCTACATCGTCCTGAAAACCACAATGTTCAATCAGTTTCTTGACAGCCTCTTTGTCTGATGAGAGGTCATGGTTGGGCCAGGTGAATTCGGAGATCATCTTGTACCTGGGTAAAAAAAAATAGGGCACAGATTAAGGGAGAAAAACCATATAGTCTCAGTAGATGCAAAAAAAACCTATTCCATAAAATTCAAAATGCTTTATAGAAAGACAAAAAAAAAACAAACAAACAACTTCTTAGCAAACTAGGAATAGAAATCAATTTCATAGCCTGACGTAAGATGTGGAAAAAGTCTTCAATAAGACACAACACTCTTTTATGGTAACAACTCTTACTAAATTAGGGATAGAAGGGTACTTCCTTAATGTAATAAATGCTATTTACTAAAAACTTACAGTAAATACCATTTGTAAGGACGCATTCACTTTACAAACAGAAACAAAACAAGGATGCTCCCATCATGGGTTTTCTAGCTAGTATAAAGAAACCAATAAACTGGTAAGTGATTGCAGAAAACACAAAACTAACAATACTTATGAACAATATATTTGCTTCAAAGAAAATCAAGCATATTGTCAGATAAACTATTACTCCTAAAAGAAAACTAAGCAGTGTTCTGCATAAAAGATGAATTCACAAAAATCAATTGTCTTGCTACATACAAGCAGCCAACAATTCTCTGCCATGTAGGCCTCTCATAGGGCAGTTCACTACCCACCAGGTTCATGAGAGTGTGAGCGTGACACAGAAGCCACAGAGTCACAGCCTTTTGGAGCCGAATCTCACATGTGATAACCCACCACTTCTGCCATTTTCCATTTTGCTAAAGCAAATCACCAGACTCCCAAGAGGAGGATTACACAGGGTGAATACCAGGAGGTGGGGATCACTGAGACCAGCTTAGAAGGCTGCCTACCACAGTGCTTCCCCATCCTGCACCCCCTGCCTGGCGCGAAGTTGTTCAATACATGTACTGCTGTTCATATATTGCATCTGAATTTTAAGTCGTGAGAAAAGCTTGCCTCACATCGGGTTACAGAGAACTCACCTGTGTGTTCTTCTAGTACTTGCATGTTTTTATTTTTTTTACATTTAGATCCCTAATCCATTTGGAGTTTATTTTGATATATGGTATGAGGTATGGATCCAATTTTACCTTTGACAAAAGGCTATTTCCAACACTACTTACCAAAAAGTCCTTCCTTCCTGTGATTCAATTTGCCATTTTTTATCATATACTAAATTTTCCTATGTATGCCAGTTCGTTTCTGGGCTTCCTGGTCTGTTTCGCTGCACTATCTGTGCATCAGTACCACATGGTTTTAATTATACATGGTACAAGTATATTTTAACATCTGGTGGTCTCTCCCAATTCTTTTTTATAGAATTTATATAGAATTTATATATAGAATATACATATATATATATATATATATATATATTCTTGCATATATATTTTTCCATATGAACTTTAAAATCAACTTACATTATTCCAGGAAAAAACAATCACAAAACAAAACAAAACAAAAACAACCAAATCCTTGCTGGTATTACTACTGGATTCTCTCATTAAATTCATTACATCTATCTATGATGTTGAGTTGTCTTATCAAATAACAAATGATATCTATCTTTCTCAAGTCTCCTTTTGTGTCTTTAGGAGTCTTTAAGTTTTTCTCATATGGTTTTCCACATTTCTGGTTAAGATAACCAGTGGCATCTGATCCCTTCTTCTTGACATTTCTCTTTTTTCCCAGCTTCTATCTTAGCTCCCATTACAGCATGTTTTTGCTGACTTTCTTTAGTCTCTTTGGATATTTTTTCCCTCAATCTCATTTTCTGGCTACTGTTCCTTCATTACTAGATCCCTAAATGTTGGGTTTCCCCAGGGCTCACTCATATCAGGCCCTCTTCTCTCTACGTGCACCCTTCCCCGCATTACCTCATCTATTCCATCTGCTTTCTTTTTCAATGCATGAATTGATTATCCTTAGCCGCCCGCCTCAGTTCTGAGCTCCAGACTCATTTATCTAACGCCTACATAGGCCCTGAAGGCATCTTAACCTTCTCCTTCAGTCTTTGCCACCTTAATGCTCTCAGTTACTAAAGCCAGAAGTCTGGGAATCATTTTTGATCCTCTCTTCTCTATCGTTCCTCCTAATCCATCATTAAGTCCTATTGGCTTTACCTCCAAAATATATTTAACATTCAACTAGTCTCACCTTTACTACCACAATCCTAATCCAAGCCACCATCCTGTTTACTACCATAGACTCCTAAATGGTTTTCCACTTCCTCTCTAATCCCTTCTGCAGAAGTACTTTTCTAAAAAGCTTTACTTCATTTTTATCTTTTACTGCTCTCGTCCTTCATTACTATACACCAATCACACTGGCCTTCTTTAGGATTGTATAATGTGTGTTGCCTTTTTCTTGCTTTAGAGTCTTTGCATATGCTGCTCCCATTGCCTGGACTGCTTTAAAATCTGTTCATTGAAAATCTGGCTCCTTCTCATCCTTTAGTCTTTCCTTGATTTTCCTTCATCAACCATCAACCCTCACACTCATTATCCTTCTCTAAGGCAGCCAGTTGGGTTTTTTCCTGATACCATTCATCATAATTCGTAATCATATTGATTTGTGGATTTATCTTTTTAATGTCAGATTCTTTCACTAGTGTGTGGGTTTATCTGCTTAATGTCAGTTTCCCTCTCTCGTCTGTGGGTTCCACGAAGGCAGGGACTTTGTTTTGTTCCCTACTATATATTATGTTGCTTGCCATACAATGAAGAAATACATATTTGTTGAATGAAAGAATTGAAGAAAATACATTTAAAGACCTACTTGCTTGCCACAGAGACAAACAGAAACAAAATGACACAGTTCTAATATGAAGAGAGAGATCCTATTACATATGTCATGTGAAAAAGAATAAGAAACCTTCCAAATTTGTTAAATAACAAACGTAAGAGTCAACATTTGGGCCATGATATAGTAGTAATGGTATATATTTGAAGTTTAGGCATACTGCAGAAAATGGTATATACTTGAAGTCTGGCCATTCTACTGTCACACTGCTCAGCTAACACATCAGGGTAAAGGCGTTCTTCTTTTCTTCCCGATGGTAAGGGGCACGACCCCAGCAAACCAGCATCCCAGACTTGCAAATTAAAAAGATGAATTTATCTGCTTTCTGACAACTAGTTTTACCTCCCTGAAAGACTAGCAGCTTTTAAGGTTCTTAAAATCCTTCTCTCTCTCTCTTGCAATAAAAGAATGAAAATTAAAAAAAGGTGGCAAGTAAAAATTTAGGTTCAACTAGCTTACATAAAAAATCTGCAGAATCTCAAAGCAAAACTTCAGTGTAGAAAATGGTACTTTTTCTCCTGCCATCACTGGAAACATTAGTCTAATGTCCTACACATCTTTTATGCCACCCCATGTCCTGCTGTTAATTAGTTTGGTTAGTATGACAATAAAGTAAAATGTCAATTTCTCAATTTGAACAAACTCATTTTATGAAAAGCAGAAGATAAACACGGCCTGTAGAGTACAAATAGGTGGTTTACCCAGATGTGTATCCCACCATCTTATCCAACACTCTTCCCAGGTGAATCTAGGGAAGAGCTAGACTTAAATAATCAGCAGTTAGACTGACTTTAGTCTTTTCACTATTCTGTTTTTTAGGGTAATTTAAAACATTTATTGTGATTATTAACATGTTTCAAATTTTTCAACTTCTTATTTTATATTTTCTGTCAGGTGTGCTTTCCAATTGTTGATTTTCACCCTGTTTTCTCTTGCATGGACTGACTTTTCTTTATTCCATTTTATTTTCTCCTTTGACTTGAAAGCCATACATTCAATTGTGAGGCAATGCAGTGTTCAATTGTAGGCTCGGAAGCCAATGGCCTGAGTTCAAATACGGCTCCACCAGTACTTGGAGCATGTGTACATCCAGCTATGTGGATATGTGGGCCTTTGTTGGCCTCTAATAAGGTGGCTATCCTTGCTTCCTGGGTCTTGACCATTATGTCTATGATGTTTCCCTTGCAGCTGCTTAGCTGGTTACTTTTCCTGGCCATTATGGCAACCTCACAGTGCTACGGCTGTGGCGAACTCCAGCACGGCAGCTGGGATGGCTTCCTGAATGGCAGCTCAAGCCTCACAAGGCAGTCTTTCCTTAAAACTGCAACCCTGGCTTACTTCTGCATCTTCCTATCTGCCTTGCATCATTATTAGGAGTGACTCACATTTTCAAGGTTCACTGAGAATCTCCTTTTGATTCCACAGTGTGGCTGTGCATTTACTTGATTTTAAATACACACGTTTTATATTACATGAGTATGTTTTGGAGTGGGACTGGGAAATTTAAGCTTGCGCAATTAAGACCATCACATTTAAAATTCATTGGTTCTTTTTAATCTGTTCTCTTTTGTTGTTACAATGAGTATTAAGAAACATAATCCAATCCTTACAGCATGTTGTCCATGCCAAAAAGCACATCAAAACATTCTGAGTTGAAAGTAAAATAGGTCTAAAACGGGTTAAAGGCAGGTAAAGATATACATTTGCAAAATTCTTTGTCTCCCTCCCCAAATCAAGCTTGCTTATTGTCTTACTTTTCAACTATTCTCCATGGCTTCCACTTTGTCTCATGGTAATACATTTTTAGTTAGATAAATGCATATTTTAGATAAATATACTTTTAATTTAGCCTGATCCTATAGTTACCCATTCCCACCCTGCTTATTCTAATATTTAACTTCTGCTGATTTTTTATAGATGACAACACAAAAACAAATTCTGTGATTGAGCAACTGGTAGAGTTCTAAGAGCAATAACAAGAAACTAGCAATCTTTCCATTAATATAACTTGATACTGTTTGAAATCAAGACTCAGAATGAACACATCTCTACTTGTGAAAGCATTCCTAATATATAGCTTCAATAAAAAAAAGAAAAAACAAATTTAAAGAATAGTGAGATTTTAATAAGGAAAAAGTCTTTTTTGAGTATAACCTTTTGATCAATATGAAATTAAATTTCAATTTTCCAGGCTATTATGCTATAAAGTTAATTCATTCCAAGAGTCTTCATTTAGTGTACTCCCTTTCACTTCTACACACAGTAGTTGAACACTGCTGGAGAAAAACAGATGATGCTGGGTGGTCTCACCATACATTTAATAACCTCAAATCTCAAATGGGCACACAGATCTTCCTGGCAGCAATCTTACTATACAAATCTATGCTTTCTCGCTCTTCAAAATGAATATTCTCACTTCCCCTCACACCTCCTATACCACCTCTCCTAATCCTCTCTCTCAGCTCATGACCTTGCCTTATACTATATTGAAGAAATAGAAGTAATCAGATAAAAACATCTTCTTTGCCATCAGCTGACCTTGAGCCTTCCTGCATCTGTATATATATTATCTGGCTTTCTCCTGTTGCTATGGGTGGAGTGTCTCTGCTCCTATCCTGACAAACCTTCGAACTTTTGCTTTGGATTCCATCCCTTGCCTTCTCAAGGATGTTATTATTACAATTATCTCCCTCCCTCCTTCATCGCTGGTTTCTCTCTCTGTTCTGAATCATCCCCACCTGCATACGAACACTTTCTGGCATCTCCAGTGCTGCTTCCATTTTTCTCTGCTCTTATTCACAGCACAAATTCTTGAGTTGTCCATAGGCATCCGGCTCCTTACTTCACTTTCCCATCCTGCTCAAATTGGGCTCTGCCCAGCTCTTTCTCCTTTGACTTCTATGTTGCCAAATTTAACAGTTAAGCTTCAACTGTTATCTTACTTGATTGCACAGCAACATTTGATATGGTATCTGTACTTTTCTTCTTGAAATGCCTCTTCTCTTGACTTCTGTGACATAACTCTTTTCTGGTATTTCTTCTACTTCACTGTTTGCTCCGTCTCTTTGCTGGTTCCTTCACATCAGACCACAAATCTAAATGTTGGCATGGACTTCCTCTTCTCCTTTATCTAGTTCCAAGACTTTATAAATCATCTATTTTCTAATCACAAAAAAATCTCTATATCCAGCATGTTCTTCTTCCAGGAACTCCAGATATGTATACCTAATAATAGCTTACTTAGTATTTCTACCTAGCTGTTTAGTAGGCATTTCAAACCTAACACAATCAAGAATAAACCTTGATTCCATCTTTGCCCCTGTTCCATGCCCTCCTCCTCATACTTCTCTTACCCAATCTTCCCTATCTCAGCAAATGATATCATGCTTACCTGGATGCTCAAGCCAAAATCTACTTGACATCCTTCGTTCCTCTCAATTCCCCTCTCATCTAGCCAATCCTTGAAGTCTTGTCCTTTCCCCCAAAATATATCCTGAATCTGTCTACTCTCTAGGATCTATAATAATCCCTTGTTCAAAACGCTATCATTAAGCCACCTCTCCTGGACTCCTGCAAGAGCATCCCTGAACGTTGTCTTGTTTTCTATTCACTTAGCAATCACGGTGATCTCTTAAAACATCCATAAGATTGCACTGCTCCCTGCTTAAAATCCACCGATTTAATGAAAATTTAAATAATTTAGTCTCGATTACAAAGTTTAACATGATCTGGTCCCTCTCCACCTCTCTGATCTCATTTCACGCGACTCCCCTGTCACTGAGCATCCTCCAACCACACTGGACAACATTTAGGACCTAGAACACCACATTTATTCCTGCGGTAGAGCCTTTTCCCTATTCCTTTTGCCCCTCCTGCTCTTTTCTCTGATCTTTGAATGGCTGGTCGCTTCCTGTCATTATTATCTCCTCAAGACTCTTCTTATCATCCAATATTTTATGTATTTATTTATTCGTATTTTTTTTTTGGAATCTGTAGTGTAGAATACAGGAAATGTTCAATAAATATTTTAAAATAAATACAGATGGAATTTAAAACATTAGTCTTATAAATCCCAGTCGTCAACTATCATTATCACAAAAAACAATAAATAGCAATATCTTACATTAATTGAGTGATTATTTTATACCAGGTACTATTTTAAGTGCTTATTATATATTATCTCATTTAATCCTCCAGCAAACCCACAAAGCAGTCACTATTATTACCCCCATTTTAAAATGAGGAAACTGAGGCATGGAAAGATTATGTGATTTGCCCAAGGTTACAAAGTTATGAAATGGCAAAGCCAGGATTCAAGCCAGGTTGACTAATTTTGGGGCCTCCATGGTTGTTTAATATTTTATTATTATACAGTTGACACTTAAACAACATGGGTTTGAACTGGGTCTATTTAGATGCAGACTTTTTTCCCAATAAATGCTATAAATGTACTTTTTCTTCCTTAATAACGTTTTCTTTAGCTTACTTTATTGTTAGAACACAGTATACAAACACATACAACATACGAAATATGTATTAATCAATTATTCATGTTATTGGTAAGGTTATTAGTAGTTAAGTTTTTGGAGAGTCAAAGTTATATGCAAATTTTCAACTGAGAGTGGTTAGGGCCCCTAACTTTTCATTGTCCAAGTTTCAACTGTAATTAATAATATCAGTAATGATAAGCAGCATTAACTGAACAACTATTATGTTCCAGGCACCTAGGCTTTTTACTTCGGTTAATTTAGACCTCACAACAAGAGCCTTATGAAGTAGGTGTACTATACTCATTTTACGGATATAGAAACAGAATCAAAGAAATTAAATTTTTGGCCAAAGATTAGACAGCAAATGAGTGGCATAGCCAGGATTCCAGATGTGACTCCAAATCCTTGCTGTTTCTACTGTACTACGATGCCCACATTTCCTCATAAAGAATAAACTTTTTCCCCATGGTCCGTAAACCATGAACTCAAGGAGACTACCTCTGCTGATTCTGGGGAACTCTTTCATATTTGCGGTTTCCTCACTCTTTTGTTCATTAAACAAATATTCAGCACGTCTAGTCGGTGCTGAGGCATTGTCAGACATGCGGAAGGCTTCGTAATTCTCACTGTACTATCAAGTTTCTTTGTTTAGTCTATTCTCACCTGTGAAGGAACTTCTCATATGTCTGGCGGAAGGCAAATCCTGCCCGTCGTACCCTAACGTTTTCCAACAGTCCAAGATACTCTACTTGATGCCGGCAGCGTTCATCATCAAATATCTGTGGGGATTTCTTGTCATTGGGTTTGATGCAACGTACATAATATGGTTCCTAAAAATATAAATCAGCAAATAATAAGTTTCACTGGAGAAAAATCTCAGACTAAGGATGTTAACATGAAATTAGTGTTAACTAATTAATCTCTGTGCCTCTAATTTCTCAGGCATACACTTGTGAATAAAGTAGTTATTCTTTCTTTCCCTTCAATTCAAGGTTGGAAGTGGTCATGCATTCAGCTAAAATTTTGTTTTATTGTATTTTAGGACTCATCAGGAATAACAGTAGAAAGGAGATAAAACTAGGGAGTAAATAAATGAGATATGCAAAGATTGAGTTTTTGTATATTTATAAAAACACAGTTAAAAAGTAACGGAAGGAATAATTTAATAGAAAGAGGCAAGAACAGTAGGAAAAAGGAGCTGCAGGAAAGAATGTAAAATGTTAAGCACAGCCCTGGTACATAGTAAGTGCTCCATAAGTGCCAGCCATTATTATTATGATAATTATTATTACATTAGTTTGTGCTTTTGAAAAAGAGATTAAGATTTATAAATATATTTTATATTTAAAATTTCTGAGTATATTAGTAGAAAAGTTACAAAACTACCCATAGGCATCAGTGACTCTATGAAAGAGCCTAGCAAAGAAGCCTTCCCTCTGTGCCAATTACATTTTGTACCATGCATTAGATCATAACTCCTTCTAAATATAAAACTGTGCTTGGCACAGACCTGGTACACTGAAGATAACAAATTATCACTGGATGAATCAATGAGGTCAATGTATCCTACCTATCAGTGTAAAGAGTTACTTTCCATTCTCTGAACCTATTATTTGTCAGACCAGATACACTTTAAGTGATAGAGCCCTCTAGTTAAATTGAGCAGTTTTGAGCTGCAGAGAGAAAGAAGTAAAAGAGAGTAGTAAATAATTTAAGAAGTAGGAGAGATCTGAAGAATGTGAATGTACCTGCATTTTGAACAGAATAGTTTTCAACATCTAAATAGGAAGCTCCAAGTATATATTTGTCACGCTGCCTTCCATGATGAAAAGTGATGCCATTTTCTTTCTTTTCCTAAGCCCTGCTCTATTAGTTTCCTATTGCTGCTGTAGCAGATTATCACAAATTTAGCAGCTTAAAACAACACGAATTTATTCTCATACAGTTCTGGAGGCCAACAGTTTGAAATGAATCTCACTAGGCTCAAATTCAAGGTGTTAGCAGAGATGTTATTTTCTGGAACCCGTTTTCTTATCTTTTCCAGCTTCTAGAGGCTGCCCACATCCCTCGGCTTGTGATCTCCTTCCATTTTCAAAGCCAGCCACTTGAATCTTCCTCATGATGCCATCTTTCTGGTTCTGACCCTTTCTGCCTCTCTCTTTCCATCTGAAAGACTCCCGAATTTACACTAGGCCTATTTGAATAACGCAGGATTTATTTTAAGGTCAGTTGACTGGCAACTTTAATTCCTCCTGCCATGTAACAACATGTTCACAGGTTCTGGGAATTAGGACTAGGATATCGTTGGGAGGCTGTGGTATAATAATAATAAAAAAAATCTTGTGCGCGTGCTCACTTGCTCTCTCTCTGGTCTTTGTCCCTGGTACCTTCAGAATTTCCTCAGTGATAGGAATATCTTTGTTATGCTAATGAGTTGACTCAAGCCCAGCCCCTAGATAGCTTCAGGATGTAGGCTAGGCACCAGAAAACCCTCTACATGATTGCAGGGCTGGAACTTTCAGATGCCTGACCTCTGGGGAGGGGAGAATGGCGGGTGGGGGTGGGGAGAGGGGGGCGGCGGAGATTGAATCAATCATGCTTGCACAATGAGGCCCTGATAAAGAAGCTCAGGACACCAAGATTCCGAGGAGCTTCCTGGTTGGCAAACATATTGATGTAGTGGGAAGGTAATGCACCCTTGACTCCACAGGGACAGAAGCTCCCGATACAGAATCTTTAAGGTTACCGATTTATTCAGGTTTTCTATTTCTTCTTGAGTTAATTTGATAGCACATTTTTCTAGAACACTATTAATTTTTCAAATTCATTGACATACAGTTGTTCCTAATATTTTGATGCTTTAAAAATCTCTATATTAAACTGTATCTTTTCTTCATTGCTTTTTATTTTTTTTAAATCAGTTTTATTAAATGTCTGTCTTTTGATTAAGTTTTGATCTATTAGTTTGAATTTTTGCTATTTAAAAATTACTTTCTTACTTCTTTCTTTAGATTTTCTTTGGAGTTCCTTTCCTGGCTTCTTGAGTTGAAAACTCATTTATTTTCAGTCTTTCTTTTTTTTTTTTAAATAAAGGTATAACAAGTAGACCCCTTTAGCAGTATCCTACAAATTTTGATAAATTCTTTGTCATGCAGTTCTAGATATTTTATAATTTCCATTGTGATTTCCTCTTCCAACTGTGAGTTATTTAGGGGAACATTTAAGTTCCCAAACACCTTTAAAAAACATTTTTAATGCCGATTTTTATTTCACTTGCTGAGGATGGAGAATGCAGCTGTATATACATTTCTTAAAATGGTTAAGACTTCCTTTGTGATCTAGCATGGGGTCAATTCTTGTAAATGTTCTATGTATACTTGAAAGGAATATGTACTTCCTAATCTCTGGGTACAGAGTTATTTTGATCTATTAGATAAAAGTTTAAATTTGGTGTTCAAAGCTTCTGCATTCTTACTAAAGTTTTTTGTCTGATTAATCTATCAATGTCTGGTAGAGCTGGTTTAAAATCTCCCACTAGGACTGTGGCCTTGTCAATTTTTTCTTTAAAAATTTTCAGGTTCTCTTTTTGCTTTACAGGGTTCATGCACAATCATGGCTGTATCGTTAGATACGTAGTTCAAAATGGCTCTACTTTCTCAGGTATTTTCATTGTATCATTAGTTTCTTTACCTGTATTAATATCTTTTTCCTTAAATTCTACTTTCACATTAATATAGCTTTTAACCAGTTTTTGGAGGGGGAGGAGCTTGATATGTCTTTACCTCTTCGTTTATAACTTTTTTTCTGCCTAGTGTTAATTAGGTATCTCCTATACGCAGCATATATCTGGATTTCCCACCTATCTAGTCTGTTTAGTCAATACATTTATGGTGAGTACCAATTATTTAGATTTATTTCTATTACATTATTATGTACTTTCTAAAAGTAATTAACATTTTTTCTTTGTTTCTGCCCCACCCATCTTCCTGCCTTCTATAGGACTGATAAATTGTCTATATTCTTTTGCTTATCCCTGCTCTCTCCCTCATTCTCCCACCTTGTAAGTACACAGATTGGAAAGCTGTAGCGGAGACTACTAGGCTATTTGCCTACCACACATCCAGTATATTTTTCCTACTTTGAAACAGAGTATTTATTTTTATCTGGGTACACTGCTGAACAGAATGAAAACGTACTTCCCAACTTCTCTGGCATCTAAGTATAGCAAATGAGATGTAGCTGAAGTGCTGTGTGAGAGATTTCCAAGGGATCTCTTTAAAAGAAAAGGAACGCCAGCTGCCATCTTGGACCAGGAAAATGGAAGCCAAGCACTAGGATGGTAAAGCAGAAAGGCAGAAGGAACCTGAGTCCCTAATAACTGTAGAGCTGTTATACCAGTCCTGTGATACTTCCCTCTGTTTAAGCTACTGATTTGGGAGTTTCCTTTATTAGTGTCTGTATGCAATCCCTAATACAGAAATTATACATGGTTCTAGAATTTTTATTTCTAAAAAATGCACGTTTAACTGCCAATTTTAGAGAAGTGATTCTTTTCTAGTTAATTAAATAAAGTTAATATACTCTGTGTTCAACTCTATTTCTTGTGTCACAAGCCTTCCTTCTAGGTTCACATTCCTTCTTGCTAGACGAGGCAGGCTAAAGCTGACAAGCAGAGAAAAGATGAGAAGCAAGAGGAAGAGTTCTAATGAATTCTTTCGGTTCGGGTGTTGTTACCCCTTCCTTTCTGGAGGTTTAATTACACCAACCAACAAATTGTGCTTATTTGTTGTTACTTGGGGCCAAAGAATCTTGATGAAAAGAAACAGAAAGCTACTAAGCAGATGTCTTCTTGTGGCATTTACCAAATTCATCCGCAGTGAAGTAACCAGAAATAGTATAGATTTAATTCTTAGTGAGGAAGTTGATTTAAAAAAAAAAAAAAAAGATAACCATAAAAAAGAAAATACATAGGAAAAGCACCAGAAGAGAAAGATAAAATAATGAAGAAACTAAAAATAATGAGTTTCAGAATGCTATGTAATTTATCAAAGTTGTCAGCAGCAGCAGTTAAGAGTAGAAATCTGTTCTTTAAGAAAAAAAAAAAAAAACAGACTAAAGTTATCAAACAGTACTGGATTTCAAAGGAGCAATAAAAAGCAGAAATAATTGTCAATAATACACCTTTTTATTTCAATTTTTCAAGTAGCCTAAGGACAATTCTTAAATATTAAACTTCCTCTTAAAACTCTAGCTGGTCATTTTGTATTCAGATACAATATATGGATGCTGTATTACAATTTAATTCATGATATTTTTAAAGCCAGGCTTTATCTTTAGCACAGGCTGAAGTTCGTTTTTGTCAGGCACATGCTATACTTTATAGTTAAATACGTATGTATGCACACACACACACACATTTTATATATATTTTAAAGATATCACTAAGACGTTTCTTTTGATAACAACGCTAGGATAAAAAGCCCAAATTTAAGAAAAGCACTTCATCTGGGACACAGACAACTGTTCCACCCAGTCATGTTAAAAAAAAGGTGGGGGGCAGAATAAAAATTCTATTATAACATTCACTTTAAATATATATTCTTCAATTTGATTTACTATAATTATCTAAATAGCAAATCATACATACATTCTCTATAACATATACCAAGAGGGAATTTATGAATTAACATGGATATTTAGAAAAGAAAATAATTACCTTTGATGCAAGGTTGTCTACTAAAGCAATCATAGAGTTCTTAAATAAGGTGGCGGCAGTCAGAGGCCGCTTGGTCACCTCAGTAATGCTCAGCTTGCCTTCGGGCCACATATTCTTCAGCACAGGATTTGAACTGAAAAGCACAGAAAGAGCAATTCAAATATTACATTCAAATAAGCTGAAAAAGAATTTAAGCAATCCTTATATCCTGGGAGGCACAACTGGACGGCAGACTGAACTCACCAGGCCTAACTGGAAAAGTGATTCCACCCAGAAAATTCTGCTAAAAGTGTAAGGACAGATACTACATCAGAGACAGAGAAAATGTGTCCAAACTATATTACATTTAAAAAATTCTTTAAACTTCTTTAAAGTGACATCCATATTATTATGACCTAGGACCCTCAAACTGGTTAACATGGTTCTTACAATAAATACATGAAACAAAATGGTTTTGGGTGGTAGTTATAAGAACGAGGACAAACAGCTAGTAGGAAAACAATGCTGAATGTTATGGCAGAAAATGTGAAAGTGAAAGTATCTTTTGACTGAACAAATATTTGTACAGAATAGGTTACACTACAAAAAGCCAGGTCTTTCTAAGCATACAGATGGAAATATAAAATAACCATTTTTACACTGTCTTCTGGTAAATCCTTTGACTGCAGTTGAATTTATGAACACATTTATAGGTAACATTGGCGGTTACAATATTTTACTGACGTGAAACTAAGACCGTTGCAATCTAATTCTTAAAGTGTACTTCAGGCCAGTTTTCATGCTAAAAATTATATGTTCATTATTTGGCTTTGTAAGATATTTTTAAAAACCTGGGTGGTAGTTTCAATTCTGATTTTCTTCTTGTTTCATTTTGGGAGCTTTTGATTTTAAAGTACTTAGAACTTGAAATATTGCTTGCTTCCTGAAAATTTCTTCTGTCAGATTTTTAATTTTTTTTTTTTAAATTGAGAGTTGACAAAAGACTTAATATGGACATTGTTTGTTAATTGTGTTTACTACTGCCATCATTTCTTCTCCTAATATAAAATTGAGAAAACTGAGTTGGTTTCACAAATACTTAGTAAATTTCTTTACAGAGAGGCTCAAAATTCCAGAATGAATGACAAAAGAGCAAAGAAGATAAACGGTGAGGTGAAGTTTGATTGGGTCTTTGAGAGAAGACAGAGCAACACTCCCAACCCCACCACTGCTAGTAAGTAGTGCCAACTACTATCAAAAGTGGCTATAAAAAAAAAATGTAGCTACAAATTAATACTATGACCTATGGACCCAGTTTTATTACTCTATAGTCTTACTCCATAATTTCCCGATGATACACATATCAATAAAAATAACCACATAAATGTATATTGTTTTTCCCTAACTTTTCCATTCTAATCTTTAGCAGAGAGAGAATTCAAGGCAATGGTTCTCAGCCTTTAGTGTACATAAAGACTGGATGCCTTCCTCACACCTACTGAATAAAATTTCCAAAAAGCAGAGCACTGTACTTTGAAAATTCTGATGCATGCAAAGATTGAAGATCACTGACTTTGGGTCTATGCAATTTCTACCCCAAATACCACCATATCACTGGTGGCCATATTTAAAGACTATTTTTGCATACTATCTTGTAAATGGAGGTGGGGGGATGTTAAAAATGAAGGAAATAAGATGATGATGATGTTGATGATGATTCTATTAAACAGTGGAATTGATACATAATGAACCAAAACTGACACATACGATCATTTTAAAGAGAAAGAACTTTGAGGCCAGTAAGTCATGAATGTAATGTCAACAAAATGGTTTTCAAATATTTAAAAGAACATTTTTCTTAAAGGGGAAGGTTATTTATCCAGTAACCCAGTATGTATATTAGATAAGGCAGAACTGATCTGGCTAACATGAGAGTAGTAACAATCCAAGTCTGCATCTGGTGGCTGCCTGCTTGCTCCTCCGCTTTTGTTCACACACACGCACGCACACACATACACATGCGCGCACACACACACGCACGAACACAAACATGCATGTGCATGCATACACCCAGGTGTACTCTCAAGGTCTACAGAACTAGAGATCCAAAGATTACTCTTTAACATATACAAAGAAAGAGAGGACTGAAATTTTGGGAGGCAATTTAGCCATGGAAGCACTAAAAGTGTCCAGAGGTAAAGGTAGCTTATCCAAATACCATTTTAGAGGATGGTTTTAGCCAAAATAATTTCAAGACTTACCACCCGACTGGCAAGGCTTTTCCTATTATGGAAATGTGTACAGTAAGTTAACCTTTTACACCTTTGGTAAGACCATGCCTATTGTGAAATGGACTCATCTTAGCCTGATGCCTTTAATTGTTGAATTTATCTAAGTTCCTTTATTCTGAATCCATGCTTACCAAGCAATTAAGCATTCTAAATTCTATAGGTAATATTTTTCACTGTCAATTAATAAACTAGAATTCTCACAGTTATTGACTTCCCAAATAGGTTTTCCAATAGGAAAAAAAACCAGATTGTCATACCAATGCAAGTATTTCATTCCATGTGACTGTTAGATTTTTCTCTAGAAATAAATCCACAGGCTGCTTTGTTTCAACACTGGTCCAGTGAGCCTGGGGTTACGTAAATCTACCTCTGGAAGGTGGACCTGTTCTCAGTGAGCTGACCCTCTGGGCCATGACAAAGTCACGAAGGTAATGAATGCTGCTTTGGGCAGCCTTTTTGGTACACGGTCTGGCTGCCTTCCCCTGGCAACACACCCTGACCTTGCCACCAGGCAACTGAGACCATTTTTTTCTAATTTGAGTTTTTGATATTTCCTACACAGAGCAATGTCACGCTCTGTCGTTGTCCCTTAAATTGGGTGCACCTTATCTGATAAATCAAGCATTGAACTGCTTTCTGAAAGTCCCTTTTCTCCATGACCAGCTCCTACTTGGATCCCGTCTCACATCCCGATGTCTCTAACTTCCTAGTGATGATAGCTCCATCATCATTCTTGGTGCCTTCAACATCCACAAAGGTGAGGCATTTTATAGCAAAACTTCTTGAAAGAACTGTTTAAACACAGTATCTCCACATTCCCATTTTCTTTATCCTCTTGAGCCCATTTCAATCACACATTTGTCTTTGTGACTTGATTGAAACCAAGCAGAATGCTTAATTGTTTGTCAAGAGTCCCACCAGCTTTCATGTTAGCCAGTCCGGTGGTTAATCTTGGTCCTGCGATCACTCTGCTTTTGACAATATTTGACACAGTTTATAACTTTTTTCTCCTCAGAGCACATTTATTTTTGGCTTAGCCTCTGTGACACCAGATTCCTGGTTTTCTTCCTGCCTCGCTGGCATGCTCTCAGTTTCCTTCACCAGTTCCTCTTTCCTTGCTTGACTCTACATATTGGAGTGTCTCAGGGGTTTGTCTTTCAAGCTCCATTCTCTCTCTCTTTTTTAATCTGTGCTCACCCTAGATAATCTCATTCAGTCTTATGGCTTTAAATACTAATGAATTTATATCTCTAGCCCCACTTTTACCCTGAGTTTCCAGGCACGTACATGTAATTGCCTATTTGGCATTTTCAACCGGATGTCCAATATACACCTGACATAACATATCCAAAACAAAACTCTTGATTTCCCTCACCAAATTAGTTCCTCTTCTTGTCTTCCCCGCATCAAGCATCCCCTCTCTATTGCTCAGGCATCGTCTTTGATTTCTGTTTTTCTCTCACATCACACAACTTATCTATTGGCAAATCTTTTTTTCATCATCCCTGTCACTATCATCCAGGTCTCAGCCTGGGTTACTAAACTAGCCTCCTAACTAGTCTCCTCATTTCTACTCTTGCCCCTAATAGTACGTGTTTTACACAGTAGCCCTAGTGATTTCTTTAACATATATATCACATCATGTCATAAATTCCAATGGCTTCCCTTCATATTTCATCCTTACCTTAGCTCACAGGCTCTTCATAATCCAGCCCCTGTTGACTCTCTAAATTCATTCCTTGTCACTCTCCCCATCCCTCATTCTGTTTTTAGCCACACTGGCCTTCTTGCTGTCCTCAATACACCCAAGCTCATTCTCGCCTTAGCACCGTGGTACTAGCTGTTCTCTCTACCTGAAATGCACTTCCCCCCACTGTTCATGGCTCGCTCCCTCACTTCATTCAGTCTCTGATCAAATGTCACCTCTTTTAAGAAGGCTTTTCTGATCATGGTGTCTGTAATTCCTTCCCTGCCCTTCCTTTCTGTACCCTTCAATCTCTTATCTATTTTATTTTTCTTCAAAGCACTTGTCACTACCTGAAAGTTAGCTGTTATTCTTGTATGTTAACTATCACCTCCACTAGAATATAGAGATCTACGAGGGCAGGAACTCTGTCTAATTTTTTTTTTCACAGCTGTATCCCAGAGCATAGGAGAATGTGTGGTTCGGAGGTACTTAACATATTTCTGATTGAACGACTGAGCAGACTTGATAAATGAGTGACTACAGTTCTCTAATGCAAAAGAAGAAGCTGGCTAAGAATCTTTTCTTCTTCATGGGCCTTCTTTCCAAAGTATCCATACTAAGTTTGAACTTAGCTATCCTTTGCCACAGCTTTTTCACATTTTCTTAGATTGTGAGAAGATTCTGTCCATTCAGGACCTGTCATCATTGACACTAGATATCACTCTGATATTAGAGTGGTCTCTATGTTGGAGGCAAAGACACTACAGTGGGACCCTGAGTATGTAAAACTTTCGGCTGGGCCAGAGGTTATCTGACATCCTCTCCTCACCAGTGGCCTTCCTGGGGAATGCAGAGTATACTGGTATGGGGTGCCAGAAGGATGGCAACAGTGAACAGAGAAACTGAGGCAGCCCAAAGAAAATCAAGGAAAATCATATTAGTAGCAGGTCCCTGCTCTAAGTTTATAGATGTTTTAATCATAACCTTAACATGTTACTTTATTAAGTATAATTAAGCAGAACTAGAAAATTGGCCAGAAAATCTTAAAAGTGTCACAAAAATATAATCGTGTGCATATATTCTATACAATGTATATGTCAAAGAACAACATAGAGATAACAAAATTTAATCTTACCTGTTATACATGAGGCGCTTGAAATCTTGAAATAAAGTGTCTTTATTTTTGTCAATAAAACCAATGACAGAATAGCTAATAAGAAAAAAAAAACAAACCAGAAAATGTACATTACTCACCAAGCAAGAGCCACATTTAGGCTTTCCTAGAAGTCTACAAGCCCTTCCACTGTTAATGATGCAATCAATCTATAAAGCTGATCCTGTCCACCACGTTCTCTGTTAAGGGATATTACAAATTTACTTACTAAATAGAGAGGCTATTGTCTCTATTCCTTAAAAGGAGAGTGAACATCAGTATTGTCATTACAATTAAGAGCATTTTCTATTGGTTTACTGCTTACCTCGAGAAGATGACTTTGAAAATACAGAGAGCTGTATGTATCATCCAGCATTAAGATAAAAGCATAACAGCAACATACAGGAACTAACAGTCTCATCCATAGAAAGGTCAAGTGACTTGCCTAAGGTTCGTTCAGTATGTTCAGGGTGGGATAAAAGAATCCAAGAAGAACTGCAAAGGATGGTAAGAGTTGGATAAGCAGAGGAAAAAGAGGAAGGCAGATCATACAGGGAAACAAAATAAATAAAGGGATAGAAGCAGGCACATGCATGGCATTCTTGAGAGAAAATGAGGAGGCCAGTATTCACTGTTTGGAGGAAGGGAGATGAGTAAGGTCTTGAAAGTCCAGCTAAGATTGCAGATGAGAAAGGTGGGAATGGAAAATGCTCTGCTGCAGGGACTGGCACGGACTCTAGGGGAATAAACCCAGGATTGGGGGTATATAAGTAATGAAGGATTCTGGGTGATTAGGGCAGAGACCAGGAGGTTGAGCAAATAGTATCTCTATATGCGGCTGTTCTATATAGCTCTACTTTCTTGTCTGTCTGTATTTTCTTCCTTGCCAATTACATCAGTGCAGACAGTTCTCAAATCTCTAACCCTGACCCCTCACCAATGTTTCAGCCTTACATATTTATTTAATTCTGCAAGAAAGTTCCTTCAGGTTGTGCTGCCCAAGGACACTTTAAGGTCACCAGGTCCAAAATTATTTCTTTGCCTCCCTCACCCCGAGTCTTTTTCCTAATACCTTCAAATCACTTTTGATTAAACTCTTGAAGTCGTCTGACTCAATTTATTGTTTAACCCATAAAATTCAAACTTCCAAGTCCTTATTTTGGGCCTTCGAGACTCATTATGATTTGATCTCGACCTATTTTTATAGGTGTTTCTACTTCTCTATGTTACCAAAAAGATATATTCCAGTCAAATGGGCCTAGTTGCTATTTAATAAATATTTTCCAGCACCTTCCCCATTTATTCCCATAAAAATAATTCCCAGCATCTAAGGATCCAAGGCAGCATGAACCTTCCTGGGTTTATCACACATAGCTACAAGCATTGTATCGTTTCCTTATTCTGAATTCTGACAACTCATATGGCAATTATTTTAGACCACCTTTTATTGTGTCAATGTATATACGTAAATGTGTGGATATATATGTGTTTATTTATATACAAAATATACATATGTGACATAACATATATACTTATGTGTATAAATACACATACGACCATATATGTATGTATACATCTTACATGAAAAGCTTTTTGTGACCAGGGACCATACTTTACAAAGCATTGTGCACACAGGAAGATATCCAGTAAAAATGTAGAAAAGGATTGAAGGACTTAAGGAAACAAGGGCAAGTCTGAGGCACTGAATATCACTCAAAGAGGGTGGTTAGCATTCTGGACTGGAAGTCAGGAAACCTAGTTATTGTCTCAGCTCTTCCATAAACTTGCTGTGTGACCTTGGGTAAAAATTCTACACAAGTTCCTTCATCTATAAAATAAAAGGGCTGACCTATGTGGTCTCTAAGGCCCTTGTCCAGCTCTGCTTTTATGCCATTCTGAAATAGATGAAAGTACCCTGTACGTAAGGCCTGAGTTTGCAGTGGGAGTATGGTGCTGGATTTTCCCTCTTCAGTATTCTGGAACCTGGGAATGGGACCAGAAAAAGTAGAAAATGGTGCCATGCCAGCACTATGGCTAGTTTGACAGATGGGGTGATAATTTTGAGCCATATTATTTTATGATTCTAGAGTTTTAATTTAAATCAGGAACAGCTATTAAAATTTCTTCCAACGTCTTTTCAAGCATTTATAGAGATCATCATTTGCTTTTTTGTTGCTGTTTCATCTCTTCCTATAATGGGCTATATGAACAGAATTCCTAATGTAAAAAATTAGGAGAAAGAACAAGAGGGCACTGTAAACAATAAGATAAGGAGCAGTGTTCAGTGGATAGTCAGAGCATATTAAGTATGGTAGGCTGAAAAACTGCCCCCTCTCTGAAAAATATCTACCTCGAATTCCTTAGAACCTGTGAATGTTACCTTATATGGTAAATGGTGTGATTATGTTAAAGATCGTGAGAAAATAAGCTTATCCTGTGTAATCCAGGCAGGTCCTAAATGCCATCACAAGTGTAGTTTTAGGATAGAGACAGGAGATTTCACACGGACACACTGCAGAGGACCACAGAGGCAGTGACGGGAGTGACGGGGCCACCAGTCGAGGAGTGCCCGCAGCTGCGAACGCTAGAGAGAGGCTCTCCTGGAGCCTTCAGAGCGTGGCCCTGCTGACACCTAGATTCCAAACTTCTGACCTCTAATGCCATCACAAGTGTAGTTTTAGGATAGAGACAGAGGAGATTTCACACGGACACACTGAAGAGGACCACGGAGAGACAGTGACTGGAGTGACGGGGCCACCAGTCGAGGAGTGACGGGGCCACCAGTCGAGGAGTGACGGGGCCACCAGTCGAGGAGCGCCTGCAGCTGCGAACGCTAGAGAGAGGCTCTCCTCTGGAGCCTTCAGAGTGGCCCTGCTGACACCTAGATTTCAAACTTCTGACCTCCTGAATTGTGAAAGAATAAATTTATTTTGTGTAAGCCATTAATTTGTGGTAATCTGTTACAGCAGCCCTGGAAACTAAAATACTAAGGTAGTTATATTTTTTAGTTATATTCTCTTATCAATTTCTACTTTTATTATCATCAGAAAATGTGGCTTGTGCGAATTTTACTTTTCAAATAACATTTGGAAAATGATATGGCAAAACTTGTTTTTGCTCACAGTGTTACCCACTACGTTCAGTTCGTCACATCCAGTGTTGACTCCCACCTCTGGGCCTGTCTGCCCACCGTTTCTTCTGTCTGGAACGCCCTCTCTTCTCCCTCTTCTCTTCCTAATTCTTTCCCCGACTAAGCCTCTCTTCCTTTTATTTTATTTTTTTAAGAAAAAATATTTTATCTTTTAGTATTTATTTTATATTAGTTTCAGACATACAGTACAATGGTTAGACATTAATAGAATTTATAAAGTGATTCCTCAATTACTCTAGCACCCATGGGGCGCTACACACAGCCATTACAATAATGTTGACACTATTCCCTATGCTGTGCTCTACATTCCCATGGCTGTTCTGTAGCTACTAAATTGTAGTTCACCTCTTTTACTTGTAGAATTCAGCTTGAGTATCACTTCCTCTGCTCCTTGCTCTGGGCTAATTATTCCTCCACAGTGTTTCCACAATGTCTCCTGCATCTCTAGTTTAACTCTTTCTGTTCCTCACTATAATGACGTATCACGTGTCTGCGCGTATTCTCCACTAAACTATTAGCCTCTTCAGGGAAAGTCTCACTTTATCTATCGTTCTAGACCAGTTCTTAACATATTTCCACAATTTATTTATCCATCAGCTGATCTCACTGACTGCCAATGATTCCAGGAACCGTGCATGGACACACAGTGTGTACTTAATACATGTTTGAAAAGCAGGGAATGAAGGAAGCTATGCCGACTTTTTTTTAAGTGAAAAGATTAAAATATAGTGGCATATAAAATGACTGAAAAATACAAACAAATAGGAAAACAATTTATGTTTTCCCTGGTTATATTTTCTGAAGTGAGGATGCATGCAAATCATCATGTTAGGTACCAAAATAAGATACTCACATTACATCACCTGCGTAATGTCGAATTCGAAAATCTCGATCAAACTCCAGAATTTTGTCTGAGGCACAAAGCTGAAAAATCAAGATTATTTTGAAAACAGACATTTTCACTTTCCTGAAAATATATTCCAACTGCATATCAGATGATAATGATGTTATAAATCATGATATAATTACGAATGAAGTTACAGTGTGTGGTGCTTGATTTAAACATTTTGCTTATGTGGTCAAGGCTGTGATCTTTCGCCAGAAATCCACACATCTATTCTTGCAGTTGAATATGGCCAAATGACCAAGTTCTGGACAATGGAAGGTGAGTGTAAGTGAGGTGAGGCCGTTCGAGGCTAAAGCTGGTAAGAAGGGTGATTCTTCTTTGTAACTGCTTTTCTCCTCCCATTAGCTGGAAGCAGAGTAGGATAGAGCCTGGGGAGTGGAAGAGCCAGGATGGAAGAAGTCTGGGTCCTTGAGAGGAAAACAGACTTCTATTGTCTCTGACACTTAAATCTTGGCTACTATCTTAACACAGCCCAGCCTACCCTGACTGATACAGCTTCTTTCTCTTCCATGTTCCACTGAAGGAGGAACATATTGAGGGCTTGCTGTCCACTAGGTACATACATCTCATTTAATCCTCACAACTGATACTTAAAGTAAGTATTATGAGCTCTCTTTTACAGACATAGACACTAAAGCTCAAAGAAATTAGGTAATTGGCCCGAGGTCACATAGCTAGAAAGGGACAGCTCTGGGAAGGATTCTTGGGACTGAATGTAATATCTGTGCTTCTTATGTACACAACAGCCTGGCTCACCTGTCTTTTGCTAGCTGGGACCCCACTTCAGGTCTATCGTTTCACACAAGATCAATCTTCTGCAGTTCTTTCTCACTGAAGAGGAATGCTTTACAGAAAGGCAGATTTTATATAGCCCTGGTGCTCTCCACAACTTTCTGCAATTGTCCTTGTTACGGTAGTACCTAGATTTCTCTATCTTTCCTGTGAAGGATCAGTTGTTAACCTGTAAGTTCTAAGGCAGATTCTAAGAATTCGTAAAGCATTGAGTATGGTTATGTGTGAAATCCACTTAGATTGTAATGTTAGATAACAAATAATCATAACTGGGATGGTGGGTTCCATGCTGATAACATAATTGTTAAAAGAACAGCCTACTAACCCAAGGGAACAATTACAGAAAATTAGTCAGACTTCCAAGGCTCAAATCTTGGCTCTAATGTCTACTTGCTCTGCTTCCTTTAATAATCACTTATCTCAGAAAGTTGTTTTGAAGGTTAAATGAACTATGGAAATCAAAGTGTCTAACATACAAAAAATTCTCTAACATATTTCATTCCTCTTTCCTTCTCTCTTATTAACCACTCTTACAAAATCCTTGTATTTCTAAAACCCCTAAAGGAAAAGGATCCAAGAGATGTCCACACTAATTGAATATCCTTACATTTAGATACTGTGAAGTCTCAACTGATCTGAATGCAGAGGGTTTTACACTTAAAACAAAAAAAAAATAATGCTATGTATTTATCATTTAACTTTATATGTTAATAATATTTTAAATAGTGATTTTACAAGTTTATTGGATCATTTGCCTGCCTCCTAATGATAACTTTAATGCATAAGAAACAATTTTGTGCCAAAATAAATAACTATTACAAGCCAGAAATCTCTTATTTAACATGCCAATAACCAGCTAATCAGTAATCAGCAGCCAATGATAAGACCTGGCTTAACATACAGAATAACAGCATTATTTAACAGAAAGATTTATAGTGACGAAAATATCTGAACAGCTTGGTTATTTCATGTCTTTCCTTTGTTAGGCAAAAATCCCAGAAAAGAACACACTGAAATTTTCCATCTTAGTGCTTATCTGGGGGATGACGCTGGAGGAAGGAGCCAACTGGTCTGAGAGTTGAGGAAACCTGGACTCCCACATTTAAAAAAAAAAGAAAGAAAGAAAGAAAAAAACTCTCATTTTCACAGATTAATTACTCAATATTTCCTATCAAATCAGTAGCAACTGCTTAAAAGTACTATGTACAGTTGCTACCTTAAGAATGCGATTACATTTCAAAATATATGGTTGAAAATTTAATTCAGGTACATACATGGCCAAGGTGAAATATATCAAAATGAGGTGATTTCTCACATGAGAAGTACAGTTATTTACTTAAATGAGGTGGAGCCTTGAATGTTTTAATTCAAATTTCAAGATTCCATAAGATTTATTTGGTATGATCGGAACCAATTCAATTCAAATTTGACAAACACCGATTGTCTATCATCTGGTAGGCAAAATGCTAGGTGAGTCTGCAAAACCTAGTGATTATAAAGGACATTTATAATCTATCCCTCAAAGACAGGACATTTGCCCATGTAATCACGCCATCTCTAAAAGCATCATTTCTAAATTATTTACGTTGCTTCTAACTTTGCTCACTGCTCTGTCCCTGGCACCCAGGATTGTACGTGGAAAATGAGTGGCACTTAGTAAGTATTTGTGTTGTAAATGGGGAATGACTGAAGGAATACCAGTCTAACCAGAACCCTAATGTCAAAGATCAAACTGTAGAATCTGAAAGCTGATTTATAGTACATCTAAAAGTCAATCCTCACTAACAGACAAAGGAGAATATTTCAGAAATAAACTGTCCTAAAATAAGTATCAGCCAGAAATCTATATCTTGATGCTTTATCTAGTTTATTGTGGAAACTTACTGTTCAGATTACATAATTTCAAAGGTGACAGAGTTAGAGAATAGATTTATTCATGGTAAAAAATGGCTGTACGTCATAGATCTATATGGAATTATGGAGAAGCAGAAACGTTTGCCCCTTTCTTTATGGTAATGAAGGAATATGGGGCCTGTTTTTCCTTTAGCTTATGGTTGCTAGACTAGCCTATATTTGTAGGGAACACTTGGGGATGATGACAAATATTAATGGTATGCTATATGCGAGGCACAGTATAAAGGTCTGATAACTACAACTGCCACCAATTATTCAGAAATGTGATCTGTTGATAACATTTTTAGAATGTGAAAAATGGAGAGTTAAAAGGATACCCATGCATTTAAGTAAATGAGTTTCCTGGTAACAAATAGAATTACAGCTAGAATTTCTCTATTTTTAAGAAAGTCACAGAGTCTGAAGAACTATGGCAATGCACACATACCACACTTTATAACTGGGGATTACAGTAAAAAGTCAAGGACAAAAGCTATTTTTCAGTGTCAGAATTATCAGATGCAGGAGCAAAATTGTGGCACATGAGCAAGGACTCTGTAACTATTGGTTATAAATGACATCATGCTTTTTAAAGAATCTTGTTCATTTTTCCTGTTTCTAGCAAATTGAGTAGTCTGGAGCTCCCTCTCCTGGATATTATGATTTTTATCAATCTTGTCACCTTATAAACCCAAAGAGGCAGAATTTATACACAGCAATAAATCATTTAATGGATGTTTATTGCCTTTCTTAGTTGAGTAGGCACTCTTGTATCCCAACATATAAAGTCATTTAATTTTGTCAAACAAATGAAGAAACTCTTATAGATCAAAATGAAAAAAAGTTCACATTAAACATATTACCTTCCGGCTGGAAAAATGACCATGTTTGCCTAATTTACTGTTAAGTGCTTCAAGGAACATTTCGTCAGTGACTTTGCCGACATTCATGCAGGCGTCATCTAGGATTGCAATGATCCCTTTGTGCTGCTGCTCCACAAGGTCCACGATGATCTGATTATTGAAGTAATCAATCTGTAGGGCATGGAAAGGAAACAATTCCAAATGGAACAGAGCCCAGGACCCGTAAGACAACAGTGCCTCTATATGTACCAGGAGTGTAAGTAAAGCTACCTTGATGGAAAACACGTGAGCAACATTAATGAGGTCTAACACTAAAACGAGCACACATTCTGCCAGAGGTTTATACTTTTATTCTTTGTTGACTTTATAACATGAAACGCTTTGTCTTAGATGAGTATAGTTCGAGGCAAAAGTTATAAAGTAGATAATGTTTCTCTCATCACTAACTCTTGTTTCAATCCTGTTTCTATATCTTGAATAACCCTAGTCCTTCATACTCTCAATCCCCCAATCTGCTTGCCATTAACCACAAGACCCAGATAGTACAGTTAAGGTACTATGCAAAACTTGCACTTTTAATTATACGGGCCTGGACTATTATCCAAAAGAGCATCTCTTCCAGTTTCCCCAAAGTCAAAAAGCATATAAAGCTCTAATGGAGTCTTGATGTTTTTCATGGTATATGAAAAAAATTTTAATTTTGAGATGTAAGTATTTATAAAAGACAAGAATAAGCTTTTCATTTACTTCCATGAGCTGAATAAAGTTATAAATAACTTATGGCTTTTTAGCAACCTCGATATAGACAAGGTTTATACAAAAATCCTGTTCTACACCTATTTATTCTGATATCCTGCAGCACACACATCACCATACACAGAAAGCACACAGTGGCCTGACTCAGGCAAGTTGTACATCATTTGGAGATGGGCAGCTTATTATTGTACATTTTAATCTCGTGTGTTGATGTGTCTCATCTAATTTAGGAGGTACCTAGACTCAGAGACGTCTCCATTAACTTCTGTAAGATCTACGCATTCATAATAGACTATTAAAGTGTCTCATGTAGTCCTGTTCCATGCTACTTATTATCACATCATTATTATCACATCAAGGACTTGTGCCAGTTATTTGTCTGTGGCTTTAAGCTCCATTCCTAGTCTTCCAAGTTCTCTTCTGTATTCCATGGACTGAGTGTCTCAAACTGGTGGCTTTTACTTTCTTTTTTATATTTTTCTGGGTTGTCTAAGTCAGTGCTTCTCAATAGAACGTGATTTTGCCCCCCAGGGGACATCTGCTGACATTTTTGATAGTTATGACAACAAGAGTGTTACTGGCATCCAGTGGGAACAGGACAGGGATGCTGCCAGACCTCCTACAATGCACAGGACAGGCTCAAAACAAAGATCTGTCTGGGCCGAGATGCCAGTAGTTCAGAGATGGAGAAGCCTTAATCTAAACATTTACTTTTATTAGGGGCGTTTATTATTGCATTTCTAATCAGGGAGAAAAGTTATTTCCATCTTTGGAAAATATATCCTTAAAATACTAAAAAAGCAGGAACTCTATATTAATTAATAACTGAAATCTTAGACTTGGGAATTAAAAGACTTAAGTTTTTGTCCCAGCAACAAAAAAGTAAGTTCCCTACAATTCGAATTGTATAAACAAAAAGTGAGTAATCTTTGCTGAAGAGTCCAATAACTTTTAGTTCGTAAGTTAACATTGCTTCAAATATTGCTTAAAGTAGAGGTTTCCAACCAGTTTCTTCCAGCAACCTAGCGCTCCCAGGTTTCTTAGGGTATACAGGTGGCAAAGAGAGATGTGGTGGGGTTGCTCCAGAGCAAAGGGCTCTGGGCCTCTCATTCTCACTCCAAATCAAGTAACTTTGTGCCTGAGAGTCAAGTTTCCAATAGCTAAAAATGACCTGGAAACTACAACACTAAAAGCTTTTAAAACAGAAACAATCAGACAACTAGACATATGAGCCTCCTAATGAAAGTTCACATACCAACAACTAAATAGACTGGTAGAAAACCACTGATCCTGAAACCAGTTGAGATTCTAGATCTAACAACCAGGGACACACAACAAGAAACAGAGAAACATATTAGATGATACCTTGGGAATCCAAATAGCAAAATCCAGACTGTAGGAAACTCTGAGGAACAAATGATTTGTTCGCTTTAACAAAAGGTTGCAAGGAACAAAAGAAGAAGAGAGAGATGGAGAAGAAAATCTATTAATGTGTGAGAGACCTATCAACCAATCACAGCGTAGGAACCTTATTTGGATCCAAATTCCAATAGACTGTAAAAACAAAGCAAAAAACTATAAGACAACTGAGGAAATGTGAAATGTGACCACTGGATATTTGATGATATTAAGGAATTACTGTTAATTTCTGAGGCGTGAAAATGGTCTTGTGGCTATAGTTTTTGTAAAAGTCTTTATCTTTTAGAGAAATGAACCGAAATATTTACAGATGAAATAAATCACATTATTATCACATCACAGTCTGAGA